TAGTTTCCATTTAAATTAAAATTCAAAGGGAACAAAAGGAACAAAGTAGGTTTCCACGAAGTTCAAAATGAATATTCTGATAAATTGTATTTTGCGAAATAAGCTAAATGTAATGGAGAACTATTATTAAGATACTTTAAAATAATTATAGAAGTGTAACGTTTCAAATGAAATTTTATTCAAAAGACAAAATAATTGAATATATTGAAATGTATGACCATTATTTGATGCCTTCTTTCAGTATTTAAAATAAGCAATGTCTCCAAGACATGGAATGACATAATATTATGATAAACGTTAGCTTTTACGTCCTCGGAAATAGAGAGAATAGTACCTTACCGATGTTACAATGAAATGGATTCAAAAATTAACTAAATATTTTTTGACATGGTTCGGGTATTTAATAGTATATAGCATACTTAATAATATTAACAATACAATTATTTTAATTTATCGAATAATCTATTATTATTCATTAGTTAAAGATATAATATTTTTATCTTGTTTTATTGAAGAGATCGTTTGAAAATTTATAAGCAGGTATACATCAGCTCTGAATCTCGTTTATTAGATAATATTGACTTTTACATGTTATAACTACTGTAACAGATTCTTTTTTTTTTGTTTGAACGTGATGTTAAAATCTTATAATCCATATTTTAAGCATTATTATATTAGTACAGTAGAAGCTTCAAATAAGGAACACTTTTTGACTTGGATAAAGTGTGTCAACTAATTGTTTCTAATAAGCGTTTGGTTTTATGTATTATAAAAAAAAAATTCAAAACAACTTATAATTTTTAAAAAAGTATATACTAAAAATAAAAATTAGTATTATATATTTTCATTATGGACTCGTATATTTAATACGAAAAACCTGGAAATTTGATTGGGCCTACAAAATGTGCTTTCTTGCGTGTTTGAATTACATACCCACTGATTTATAAAAACATATCTCTATACTCTTGGTTTTTGGAAATTTAATAACTTCCCACATCCATTGATTTTTCAAAGTGTGGTGAAAAGATTGTACTGCACAATACACATGAACGCAAAGTGCACAAACTCTCGTCAGGTATGTCGGATGCTCCTTGAATATTGATGTTAATAAGATGTTTAAAAAATGTGACTTCTATATTTGCATGTTGGATTAAATAGCTAAACATATTATTTTATATTTAATTTGTGTCACCATGCCAGTGAACATCAAGTTATATACCTATTGTGAACCAAGCGATTTATCATAATATATTTAATTTAAAGTAGATTTGCAAAATAGCTGAGTGAGTATACTGTTTAGTAGGCATCAGAAGCTGTTTAAGCGAAAATAGATTAATTCAAAAATGTATTTTAATTAGAGAATTTGTAAATATTTCATTAAAGTAATGCATGCTTTTATTTTTATGAAAATTGTTTTTACTTTTTACATTTGTATACAAACTGCTGGAAAATTGAATAAATACTTTTTTATATGTTCAATCTCAGTTCAGTATCTAATCGAGAGTGGTTCGCATGATAGATTGAAAGATATTAAATTACCAAAAAGTCTTTGCCTAAACAACCATGTTATCTTGCAATTCACACCTTCATGGTAAACAGTTTTTTTTAATTTTACTCATTTTATGAAATTACAATTTAAATAATATTAGAAAAATAATTGCATTATTTTTTTTTTTTTTAACTGAATTGAATTTAACTATCATTACAACATTCTGGTATACTTTGAATATAACCCTAATATAACTAAATTCAATGATATTCAAACAATAAAAATAATATAAACAATAATATCTACCAATGTTTATTTATAAAAAAAAAATATAAAATATGCAGTCAGAAAAAAAGTCAACTGTAATGGTAGGATACAATTTGATTGGATTTATGAAAGCCAGGTACCTAGCATAAATCCTTGCACTCTGATATTAATTTTGAAGGATTTAACTGAAAGTTAAAAAATTTAAACATTTATTTTTGTGCTTTAATTACTTTTCTCGTCAGTACTTCTCATTAAAACTTTTTTGTAAATGGATTAATGAAGCATAACGTTTTCAGGAATTCGACAGGAAAATCCCATTGAAGGTCGTTCTTGTCATTTGCTTTTATAAAATATCAATAACAATACTAATTAAATTTGTAAACATTTTAAACTTAAAACAAGCCAAGTTTTCCTTTTTCTTAATACATGCCAAAAAACCAAATCCTCCTACTCAAAAACAAGTAAAATATATTGTTTAGCTTATACAAATAATGAGTGTCCATTAGTTTTGTTTAGCTATTCATACTTACACAATAATTACAACTACCTGATATACACTTTCTTTCATGCTAATGATTATATTATGACGTGTATATTATTATTCATAGTTATCTCTTCAATTTTTCAACATCAGATACAAAACCATTATAATTTATAAATTTAACTGACATATAAAAAATTATCGATTTTGACAATATATTGTTATAATAAATGTTTGCTTGTATCCACGTTATTTAATATTCAATATTCGTTAAACAAATATTCAATTTTTAGGTCGGAATTTCATAATCCAATAACTCTTAAATTGTTAAATAATTGATTTATTATTGAATAATGCTGTTGAAAACGTTTTACTATCAATTGTAATTTGTATTCAATGAAATAGTCTTGTATTCTATATATAGTATTGATTTCAAAAAATTATAAGTAAATTGCAATTATGTAAATAAATTTCAAGTACTTGCTTTTTGGGAAAACATTTTAGATAATAACATTTCCTAATATCTATTTTGGTACTTTGATAATATTTTGTGTCGTGTGTACTTGACGTCTTATACATCTTATTATGAGAAAAAAATATATAATAAATTCGGTTATTATGATGTTTATAATAATACAATTTGGTAACACGGCATCTTGGATATGCAAAATAGATACATGGCCTCGTCTGTTTTCCAAGACTTACCTTTAGCATGTTTTTGAAAAAATCGTTATAATATTTTATATTGTTATTGAAATAATGAATATTTATTTATAAAACAAAGTATATCATTATAAATCTTGAGAGTAGGCTTTGAGGGGGCCATAGGGAGGGCTTTGTGACCACTTCCTCGTTCCCGGTATCTTATTTGTATGATTTTCACCATATGATAATATAATGTGAATAAGTTTAAGACATAATTCGAAATATAAGAATGATCATTGAGTAAATACTAATTTTTTGGTAAACAACATCGTGATAATTATTATTAATATTTTTTTTTTTTCTAAATGAATTAAATATTTTGGGTATACTTTTTTACTAAAAGAGATAAAAAATTATACTAAAAATTCCAAAAAATATTTCGTTTTGGATAAATAAATTATTTTTGACATTTTACTTTTAATAATAAATTTTCAGCTTTTCACTCTAGCATATTACCTACATTATATTAAAGTGTACAATATTATGAAATACAGTTTCATCAATATTAATTAATATTCATTAATATTCAATATAATTTAGTATATTGCTAATGGAAAATTCAGTAATTATAACAGTTACTAAATAAATTATAAATAATATAATATAATATTTATGAATCATAATTTATAACTTAGATATTGTCTTATAAATCGCTTCATAACAACGATATTATTAGGTATCTATATAAGACATAAGTAGATACTGCAAATATAATACTGTTATGGTTGTATTACTAGAAAAGTCAAATTGTATTGTCTTAAGTCAGGAAACAACAATTTGACGGAATTAAAACAACGTAATCGATCAGGTTACAGTATATGGTTCACGAGTAATGTTAAGTTCAAAATAATTATTCACATAACATTAATTTTTCGTTACGCATGCGTCATCATCGTTACATACAATTTATTACTTATATTTCCGTATGACTGTTCTAACACGATGACTCGTGTTCGTTTGCGAAAAATAGAAACAAAATAATTTAATCACCTCAACATGTGATGCGTATAAAAATGAATAAAAAAAAAAATATTTTTTTGAAATTAAGGTTTCGACAACTGTGGCCATTAGCCTGCTACTGCGGAGGAGGGTACTGTGAGTTTGAAAACGTGTGTGTATTTGGGCAAAGATTTGTCAATAAAAAACCTTTGTGGTCACCCATCCGGGAACTAGTGACTTCGGCCGGTGAGTTCATTCAGAGCACATTCGTGGCTAAATTCAAACTTCACGTCACATCAAGCCACAGAAAATATTATAAATAATAATAATAATATATCTATTATATAGGTACCTATATTATATACTACTATGATAATATAGGTATATAGGTACTTTTTTACCTTTCTATCAGTAAAAAACGTCATATTTAGGTGTACTTCATGGCTCATACAATATGCGCATAAAATACTTATTGGTAGGTAAATAAATAAATACGAGTAGGTACATTGATTGTGTTTGAATTGGTTTGGTATACTATACCTACACTATTTGAAAAATCGACGATCATAAAAAAACCATTATAAACATTATATTATTAGGAAACGGATTTAATTGTAAATGTATAATAAAATAAATGAGACGTTTTTAATCGAATAATAAATGTGCACGATTCACACCATTATAATAATTGAAATGAGATCAATATTGTATTTCACATATTTTATTAATTATTATACTCTATTCAGAATAAGAACAAAGCGGACCAAATCCGTCGTCGTTCGGGAATCCATCTCCCCTGCCTCCACAAATAATCACCATTAGCAGTATTAGGTACCGAATAATATTAACGAATCAGTCACCAGTTGGTCTGGCAGTGTCGACGCAGTTGCGATGAGCGAATGGTGTCCGTTCTTATTCTGAACAGAGTACAGTATAATTACATGTTTCCCAAATTAATACAATATTCAGTGGATTTGGTATTCATTGCCAAGTCGGTTGAGCCACTTTGAATTTTTAAGGGGAAAATACAAACATATATTAATGGTACTTTGATGCTCACGCAGTGCGTTACGTTAATAATATTATAATAATCATCGGTTTTTTTGTAATTTCTTACAGGATTTTTGAACGCCAACGGTTCTCCCAACTCGAGAGCCCGCGTGGCCAACTACGGCCTGATGGACCAAATAGCCGTGCTCCACTGGGTGCAGCAGAACATTGCACTGTTCGGTGGAGATCCGGAGAACGTTTCTCTGATGGGTCACGGGCCCGGAGCCGCTTGCATAAACTTCTTGATGATATCGCCAACCGTGGTCCCAGGTATGTTCAAATAATATACACAATTCGTATGACGAGGAATTATTGTGGTGGATAACACCCTCCGTATGGATATCCTCCCCATGAACCACCTCACCTTGGTGTACAGATGCCGTGGGATAAGCATGCGGTTAAAACGTTAATCCTACACATTTAACGATACGAATTATAATTATTAAAGTCAATATCTAGGTATTCAAAAAAAAAATTTTATAGCAAATATTATAATTAAATAATTAAAATTGATTGTATATAGGCCATAGGGATAGGGTATTATTTTTTGCTTTGAGGGTATACATTTTTTTTATGATTTTTAATACACTGTATAATATTGGTTTATTTGGCCATGTCAATATTATATTTAAAGATATTTTTATTGAAAAAATAAAATACCTACCTATATTATATTGCAGTATACCATACTCGTAGTTTTAAATTATAAATATCATACAAATGTTAAACAATTAAAACAAATTACGGTTTTTTTTCTTCCTTTTGTTTAATTTTTTTACAAAACATTTTGTACAATTTCAAAAGCATTTTAAATTTTATTTTAGACAAAAGATACAATACTCGGGGACATACGCGATTTTATATTTCCACAGTACCAAACTACGTATTTTTCAGTGTAGCAAAAAAAAAAATATATCATAGAAATCGATTTTTTATCTGCCGGAATTTTCAGTAGACGTTTTTTTTTTTTTATTATTATTAACTATAAGTATAACACTATAATAGCTCAACAATTATACTAATATAGTTTATAATAGTATTATATTTTATAATATACATGACAGTATTTTGATAACATAATATTTAACGGTTTATAATATGTGTTTATAAGAGATACTTAATAGGGAGATAAGGTAGGTATAACATAGTATTAATACGTTACGTTTATTAAATAAACATAGTATGAAATCAATGGAATTGACGGATAACAAATATTATGAAGGTCATTTTATGGAAAGTTAGAGACGGGGATTGGAATTTTATTTATGATTGTTGTTAACGCGATTAGTAATAGATTCGAGATAGACTTAAGTTCTTCGAGAAATTTTGTAATGAAATCTGTTGATTGATCTGATGAAGGAACATTAGCCGTTACCTTGGCGTATGTAAGATTCCGTTTCGACTTGGAGTTGACATTGCGTTGTGCCGCAGGTTTAATTTGATAGGACGATTTCTGCTTGTCGGTTTCCCATGTTTAGATATGATTTTTTTGTAACGCGGGTAACCCTTATACGATGAAGTATGTGGACCAGAGCAGAGAGCGAATTTGGTGGATACTGACAGTGATTTCGTGCAATCGCTGGATATATGGTTCTGGCCGCATTTGACGCAGCGTGGATGGTAACGACAGTAATTTGTCGTATGGAAATATGCTTGGCAATTAGTACATTGAGACGGAGCGGACTTTTTCCTTGGGATTGCCACTTTAACTTTGGTGTGGAGAATCGAATTTAATTTTAGAATGTCGCTGTTGTTATCGGCGATAATTATATCAGCTCGAAATAGTGGCAAGTTCACTTTGGTGAAACGATTTATGATATTAGTGACTCGAATTACATCGTGACCTTCGTTTATCAAACTGGTTTGTATGTCATTTGTACTGGTGGATAGGTGAAGGTGTCTAATATATACACTGTATGCCTTTGACGATTTTGCTTGATAAGTGTGGAACATTATCTCATCGTTGGCTAATAAATAGTTCATGACTAAATTGTAATTTGGCGCATTGTTGGTATGGATAACTAGATATTTTGAGGTTGATTTAAAATAAATGCATGGTGGCTGTATGAGTTCTAATAAATGTTTTGTGAGCGTAGAATAATCGTAACCACTACTTATATAAAAGAGTGGTGAGATAAAATGTGTTTTGTCTGGAGTTCGTGCTTAACTGGTAGTCGATGAGTTTGAGAGTTCGTCCCTATTACTAGAATGAGGTGGAAGGGATACAAATGCATCTGTATCTTGGGACAGAATAGCAAACTTGTTCGGCGAAACAAATTGCTTGGTTTTCTTCCCCTCTGTTTGAGGAGACAGACTTGAACTTGAAAGATGCCGTTTGGAAGAAGTCTTCGATGGTAAAGAGCCAGATTTCATATTTTACGAGAGTAAAACTACAGAAAGTGATTAGAGAAGCACGTGACGTCGTGACCGAAGTCGCGCGATAAGCGAGTGGAACTTAAATACGTGTGATAATCATACGTGCTATCATCGTAATGGTTGGCGACGAACTGTTCAGTAGACTTTATTTTAGTATTTTACATTATGAGTGATCGTCGATATAAAATTTGATACGAACTTAAAAAAAGCAATAGCTACTTTGCTACAGTGACAAATTCATATTATTATGTGTTAACTAGAATTTAAAGTTGTTCTCTTGTCGGACAGACACCTTGAGGCTCGTGCACGTATGTCAAAACCGAACAAGAGCATGTAAATATAATATAGAACATTGCTGTCTATAGGTACCAGCTATACAACTTAATGGTATACGTATATTATAATATTATTTGACGCACAATAACAAACCCAAAAATGTGCATAAGCAGCACAATAACGGTCTGTGAAGAATTAATAATGCCCGTAAGCCCCACATTAACATAATCACGTCTCCGCAATGACTCAGATTGCGTGTTATCATTTAAAAATTCGATCACCGGAGTCATTCTCTCTCTATTTATTCAGTTGATTATACGGTGCAGAGTTTTATCCGAGCTGCCTGCCTGTTTATTTTTCCCACGTAACAAGACGTTGTTGACTGTATTCTTTATACACATATAACATATTCATTACATCTTAAACCAGAATACCCGTACACTTGAGTAATTTTGTTTACGTGCGTCGAATAATTTCCGCGTATTCGGACGGGTCCAAAATCGTCAGAATCAGACTTTGCGAAATTATGCACCCTGAGATCGCTATATGTTCGCCGTCATGCGTATGTGTACTAAAGGATTTGTTAAGTTTACCTTTAAACAGACTATGTTATTATAAATAATAATACAAAATAATATATTTATATTCTATAAATGTACGATTCACCTACATGTATAAATATACATACTGCAACATGATGACGATCTGAAAATTATTGTAAATTGAAATCACTCTATATTAAATTAGAGTAAAATATGCATGCATAAATAGATCGAAAAAGTAACCAGAAAAAAAAATATTATGTTTTAATTAATATTCAAAAAGTGAAGTAATAATTTATATGAGACCAAATATGCATGTGTTACTACTTTGAAAAACCAATAGAATTATTATGATAGCTGGTACTATAAGATTCTACGCTAATAAAATTCGAAATATGAATTATGGTGCACACAATCTGTTAGTTAAGTAGATCAAAAGGGAATATTTATAAATTACAGAATAACACCGTTATTTTAAAGTAACACTAGACAACTAAGAATACAATTTCATGAAATTACAATATTGTAATTAAAATACATAATATTATGACCTACGGGCATAGAATTTACACGAATTATTTGTTTTAGTAAGATTAAATTTTTGATAAATTTTGAAAGAACTGTTTATTGGACCAATATTTTAATTGATATCGAAAAGTTCGGGAATTTAACATTTCAATTCAACTTTAAAATGTAAAAATGTACAAAATTATAACTTTTTAAATAGTTTTTCACAAATTACAGCATAATCGTTCAAATTAATACATTTTATGTATATTAAACATTTGCTCATCGTTAACGTCATTGTAAAGCAAAGATAACATAAATAGTTTCAAGACATAAGAACTGTAGTAGTACCTCTTGGGAGGCCTCTAAATTCAATTTAATCTGCCTTTTTATTTTTATTTTTATTTATATTAACCTATCTTAACCCATCAATTGTTCTTATTGATATTTTTTGGAACAGATTGAATAATAAATAAAAAAAAAAGGACCTAGAAATTATTATAGTTCAACATAATATAAATTAATATCAATTATTTATGTCGTTTGTCTAGTAATATAGGTACACGCTCAGTATTAGTTTTATTAACATCAAAAAAATATTTTATAACTGTACCCTGCATAAAATTATGTTTAATATGAGAATGATGCAAATAGTATGATATTGTATAAAAAAGTTAACTTCTTACCGTTAGCTTAAATATTTAAACACACTCGTTAATTTGAATACCTGAGGATGCCGATGAGATCTCATACGAGTTCGAGAATAAAAGCACGTGAAATAAATGAAATTATAATCGAATAAAAAATTACGAATGATTCAATTTCCTTCAAAATATTCTAAAAACAATGGGTTTCAGTCTTAAAAACATGTCTGTGGCTAATCACCAGGATGAATTATTGTTATATAAAAAAAAGAATATTATCATAGACTTCAGATAAGTACACAACATCAACTAACAAGTCTAATTAGCTGACCATTAATCTTCTTATAATATACCCTGCAATTGTCTTAGAAACTTTTAATTAAACAAAACCGTATTTTATTATTCAAACATTCCGCATTAAGTTTGATCAACAAACCACAATTTATTTATTTACGACAAACATTTTGTGAATTGAAAAACCATATTTAAGTTCTACAATAAAAAAATCTCTAGAAGCTATATTTGTTTTTCAATAAAGATATTATTATAAATAATTATGATAAAAATGATTTCTTTTATTTCTTCTGTGGTACTGTACTAATTCTTATTAAGTAACGAAATTAAACATCTTCCCATAAATACGGTTTATGACAGCTTATTACACAATATTTATATATAAACAATACATTGTGTCATAATTATATATTATACAATAATTATTTATGTTATTCTAACTTATCCACTTTAATTACATACACGTATCAATCCAGAACTTGGATATTAAAACTAATTATAGAACATTCTCATTAACTTATTTTTATATACAAAGTTAGCTTTGAGTATTAGTTTTAATGATGTTGCGCTTTATTAAAAGTTATCTTTCCTTTAAACTAAAAGTTTCGTGCATTTAATGCATAAACTAAAAAGTGAAGAATTATTTTAAATGTTACAAAAAAATTATTTCAAAACAGTTATTCATTTTACCATAGTAATGCACAACGAATACTTTTACAGAAACTACAATTTAATCATTTAATCATTATCATAATATGTTACAATAAAGCCATACAGGTATACATATTATAGTTTTAGGAAAACTTAAAATCATCAATTTTTATGTATTTTAAGAAAAATTAAAATAAATGGTTTTCTAAATTTATTTTCATAATTTGTTCTATTGTATTTCAAGTTCTTAACGAATTAGTGTGAATAATAATTTTAATGAATAATTTAGTGTTTTAAAATATATTTTTCATTTATGGCTTACTGAGTCCATCAGGTCTAGAATGCGAAGTGTTGACGTTTGGAAATCCTACTAGAATATTACGTACGTTAATATTACAGGTTGTGCTAAAGCAAAACAGACGTATAGTGTACAATAAATAATACTTATGAGTTTCCATTGTATTCCTCTTCTACAGTAAATAAACATTATGTGTATAAGTACTTAACAATTATTCCTTCAGACAACATTTTTAATTTTTGTAAAAAGCAAAAAAATATAACACATTTCCGTCCTATACTTAATTTTTATTTTTTATTCCAAGAAATCTGTAACTATTTTCAATAGTTAACTATTCATAATAATTGTAACTCTAATAAGTTATTTTATTTTATTTTCCGAGGGAAAATAATATGATAATTATGATCTTAAAAAAAAACAATTTCAATTAATTTTTTGAATAATATTTTTTTTTTTTTTTTAATTAGGTACTTAATGATTTTCTGTTCGATAAAATACTTCATAGCATTAATAGGTTTATATCAATTAAAATAAACGTGTGTTTTTACGTTATAATCTGTAATGAGAACTAATGACTCTGCTATTTAGTTTAAAAATAATTTTTCTTAGTAATAAATATCGTTGTACTTTGCATTAATAGTAATAACTAATTAGATATAGTATCAAGCTATAGCGGCGAAACTTAAAAAAAAAAAAAAAAATAAGATTATTTTTAATTTTATAGATCAAATTAAACGTTTGAATTGAGTTACACATACGATGCATATTATGTTTCGAGTATCCTCCGATGGCCGAACGGGGGCTCTGATATAATACACGATATTATGTCATCATGGACTTGGCTATTTGATCGAAACACCGAAAAATTCACGAGTTCCCTCAACTCATGTGCGCATGTGTGTGTGTGTCGGCGTGTTTGACGGAAGCTAAGAGAATGCGAACAATCGAAATGCACATGAGATGCGAATAAATTTCCATTCGCGGTGTTTCAATTTTCGAACTTTATGAATAATAACTTACGCCAGGGACATTATTATTATTATTATTCGTCTACAATATATAGCCCGCACACGAATAAAAAATGTATTAACGGATGCGTTTCTCGTATCGATTTTCCCGTTTCGCATTTGTATCCATTACGAACGGTGGCAGCTATTTTAACAGACCAGGCGATCACGAGGGCCGCAGATTCCGACGACAGTCTCGTGTACGGTAGACACGAATCTGTTTAATTTTCTCGACACATGTGTGTAGTGCGCATGCGTTAGTAGTGTCGTATGTGTATATGTGGGTGGGTGTATTTCCGTCTACGAGCGGACGTGGCACTCTTTCTTGTCAATGATATCCTCATATTTTAACCGAGCATTAAGTCCGCGCGCTTATCTTTAAACAGCC